TCACAGCCTGCTGAGGGTTCCTACAGGCCTGCATGCATGATTACTTGTGTACATGCATGTATTTGTGTTTGTATGTGTGAACCTGTTGCTTTTGTGGGGGAAGAGGGTACGTAGCAGATTCTCAAACCTAACCATGTTTGTATATGTGGAACTTTGTTTGTACGGGTAGATATAAATATCAGAACATGATAATTGCCTTATATGACTATGGGGAGCTGTTTCGGGGGTGTTTGCCTGTAGGTGAGAGGGTTCCTAGCAGGACATGACATACAGCTCTGTGATGGGATGTAGCCGTTATGGCAGTGGATCTCTAGGAGACAGGATACCTAGCTGTGTAAGAGGAATATTGGCTGAAGGGAAGGGTGAACCGAGCAGATGCTGACACAGCCCTGTTTGGAAGATTTTGGCACTGAGACATTTGGAAATCTTCGAGGATCTTCCTCCTAGCTGCAATATATATTATATAGATATAAATGAATAGGGATTATATATATAAATATATATATAATATTTATGAAGAAGAGAGAGAGAGATTGTGTGTACTTGTGTTCTTGTGGAGGAGATGTTTTATAAACAAACAGACATCTAGTTATATGCAGAGGTAGCTTTGCCTGTAATGGAGGCAATACCTTGAAGGACCTGTCACATAGCATGTATTTGGGAGTCTTTGACTGTAGGCTAGTGTGTACCTAGCAGGATTTGGGCTTAGATATACACATAGTGTGTGTGTGTGTGTGTGTGTGTGTGTGTGTGTGTGTGTCTGTACAGGTGGATGATTGTAGAAGACCATATCAGACTACCAGGTATGTGTAAGTGGTGCTTTGCCTGTAGTGCAGGAGATACTTTGAGGACTAGTCAGTCCATAACATGTATTTAGGAGTCTTTCACTGTAGTGGAGGGTGTGATACCCAGGAGGGCACTGTCTTAGATATATGCTTGTGTGTGTGTGTGTTTGTGTGTGTGCATGAGAGACAGACAGACAGACACACACACACACACACACACAGAGAGAGAGAGAGAGAGAGAGAGAGAGAGAGAGAGAGTTTAGCAGGAGAACCACTAGTTGGCTGTGTGTAAATAGGGCTTTGGCTTTGACTCTATGTGGGATACCTCACAGGACCTAACACCTAAAGGTTTATGTGTATTTTTTATAATTATATCAATGATTTAATTAGCAAAACTGCAAGCAAACATAGCAACAATTGGAAACACAGATATTCCAAGAAATGGGAAGAGGGAAGTAACTGATGTTGAGAACAGAAATACAAAACTCTAGAGAAAGTTCCCTGGAGAATAAATTTCTAGAAAGTAAAATGATAAAGTAGCCAATTTTCAGAATATAAAATTACATGAAAATCCATCATTTTCTGAAAGAAGGAGTAAGTACTTAAATATAAAATTAACATAATAATATACCATAGACAGCACTTGATGAAAAAACAAAACTAAAAATTAACATCCTCTTTTAAACAAAAACTACAGAATTCTAATGAAAATAGCAATCCCAGACCTCCCTGGCCAGACTCACACTGTGTGCTCTGGTGCTCTGCTTCCGCTGACAGTAACAGTGTTTTAGGGGCTTTTCTTCTACTTTTGGAGACGTTTGCTTGGAGTGCTCTGATGTTTCAACTTTGTAAATAATAGTTTTTTATTGATTTTATTGACCTATACACTTTTCTCTGCTGCCCTCCCTTTCTCTCCCCTCCCTTTTAACCCTCTCCCATGGTCCCAGACTCCCAATTTACTCAGGAGATCTTCTCTTTTTTTACTTCCTATGTAGAGTAGATACATGTATGTTTCTCTTAGGGTCCTCTTTGTTGCCTATATTTTGGAGCTCAGACCTCTGGTCTGATGTGGGGTTAGTGAAGATCTTTTCCTTTCTGTGGGCCGCTGTTTTGTCTTGTTGACCATGTCCTCTTTTTTACAGAAGCTTTTCAGTTTCAGGAGGTCCCATTTATTGTTTCTCTCAGTGTCTGTGCTGATGGGGTTATATTTAGGAAATGGTCTCCTGTGCCAATGCATTCAAGTGTACTATCTACTTTCTCTTCTATGAGGTTCAGTGTGGCTGGCTTTATGTTGAGGTCTTTGAATCATTTGGACTTGAGTTTTGTGCGTGGGGATAGATATGGATCTATTTTCATTCTTCTACCTGTTGATATCCAGTTATGCCAGCACCATTTATTAAATATGCTTTCTTTATTCCATTTTATAATTTTTGCTTCTTTGTCAAAAATCAGGTGTTTATAAGTGTGTGGATTAACATCTGGGTCTTCTACTCGGTTCCATTGGTCCTCCTCTCTATTTTTATGCCGATACCAGGCTGTTTTCAGTACTGCATGTCTGTAGTAAGTTTGAAGTCAGGGTTTTGGATGCCTTCAGAAGTTTCTTTACTGTTCAGGATTGTTTGGCTATCCTGAGTTATTTGCTTTTCCATATGAAGCTGGAGTATTGTTCTGTCCAGGTCTGTGAAGAATTTCTAATTTAAGGGTCAGGGTATATTTCTTTCACTGACTCTGATTCTATGGCCCATGTGTGTTTCTTTGGCACTGGTTTCAGAGTAAGGCTGTGTTTCTCTGGTTCTAGGTTCACGGATAAATTATTTCTTTCACTGGCTCAGGTCTCTGAGTCAGGGTATGTTTCTTTTACTGGCTCTGGTTTCAGGGACTGAGTGTCTTACTTTGGCTGTCCCTTTTACCCCACAATATTGCCCTCTCCTCTCACTAAGAGTGTGCTCATTGGCCACTGTGCCTGAACTGTGGACCAATCAGACCATAGGAAATATGAAAACCCAGTTCCACACTTGTCCTTGCCCTGCCTCTATTTTGGAGGCACTGGGTAGTCCAGGGGCCTTATGGGAGTTGTAGCTTTCTTTGACGTGCACCAGAAGGGTCATTGCCTTTGCAAAGCATAAAACTCCTGGAGGGTACTTCTCTCAGCATCCTGGGCATGTCAACTTTAAAGCCTCCCCAGCATGCAGGATGGATGTTTCTAGGCACCAGGAAAAACTTCGCATCCTCCCCAGGGAGGAAATAAAGGTGCTCATCTACTGAGAAGCCTAGAAGATATGCCTAGTCCCTTTGTCAACTCAGGCAGAGACTGGAATAGTCTCAATCCCTATGTATGCTATAAATACTCTACTCACTCAAAATTCTCAGACTGAGATAGTTTAGTGTGTAAAGGAGTTTGACACATGAACTACCTGAGTTCTACCTAAGTTCAAATCTCCAATCCCACACGCAAACATGGAAGGAGAGAACCAACTCCACAAAGTTATCTTGACCTCCACAGGCACACAGCTCCCACACAAACATCAAGCAAATACACATACACACACACACACACGCGCGCGCGTTAAATAAACAAATGTAATCAATAACCCAAAGATTGGAGAAATGGTTAGTGGCTAGTGATTGTTTTTCAGAAGATCAGGGTTTGATACAAAGCACCCACAGGGTAACTTCACACATCAGTAACTCCAGTTGTAGTGGTTCCTAATCTCTCTTCTGATCTCTGAGAATGCCAGACACTAACTTTGAATACAGGGGTAGGGGGAGAGGGAGAGATGGTGAAGGGGTGAAATATCTATTTACGACCAGCGATGGTGGTGCACACCTTTAATCCGAGCATTTGGGAGGGAGAAGCATGCAGATCTCTATGAGTTCATGGCCAGCCTAGTCTACAGGGAGAGTTCTAAGACAGCCAAAGCTACAATGAGAAATCCTGTCTTGAAAAAAAAAACAAAACCAAAAACAAACACCTAAATATATATTTATATATAGATATAAATATATAGATATATATTGATATATTGATATTTGTTCTAACCCTCAGGCTAGGGCAGACGACTCAGTCAGTAAAGTGATGGCAGCTAAAGCATGGGACCCAAGTTCCATCCCTGCACATGATGGAGTATGCCTGTAACCCCAGCACCGGGTAAGCAGGGACAAGAGGATCCCCATGTCTTGCTGGCCAGACAGCATAGCTCAGTGAGTGGCAAGAGATCGAGGAAGACACCTGCAGTCAAGTTCTAGCCAATTCGAGTACACACATGGAGTCCCCACGATTCCAAGCAAGTCCAGGGCATCGCGACGAGGGGGTGCTCAGGCCGCCCTTGCTGCCCACCGGAGGAACCTCCTGTCAGCCTGCGCTGCCACCTTTCACATTCCTCCTCCTCCCTTCCCCAAGCAGTCAGCTGGAAGGAGGAGGAGAGGCCGGTCCTGCGGCTTCTAGCTCTATAGATCAGGGGAAGGGGGTTCAAGGTCTCAGGGGCCCTGTGCCTGTGGCGCAGCTCCCTGGGGAGGAGGTCATGCGGAGGTTGGAGATAGCACGGAGGGGCATCTAGGAGTAATAAATCACCCTGGTCATTTGGGAGGGCAGCCGGAGTCTTGAGTTTCTGTTTTGGAGGTTTTGTAAGGCTGTTGAGACAGTGCCTGGTTTGAGAGGGCTCACACATACTTTGCCCAATACTGGCTGTAGACCCATATTCAAGGACTGACCATACTGGGCCACTGACATCATGGCAGGCCTCGGCATGCCTGACTACAACTGCTATGGCTGAGAAACTCCTCCTTCGGCTTAAGGTGGCTGCTGTTACATTCCTGTGGGACCCATTTCTGGCTGCAAATGCCCCCCAGGACCTCTGGCCATAAGAGGCGGGTTCATACCCATAGGGGTCATGGGCATCATCGCGGGCATCTGGTGTTGGATTGGGCCTTGGAAAATTTGCACATGAGCCATCTGGCCCTGTGTCTCTGCTGCCCTCTGAGTCTGCATTGCCATTTCTACTGGCAGGTGGAGGCCCTGGAAGGGAGGAAGGAGCAGTCTGAGGTGGGGGTTGGTTTGGTCACGTGACCTGCTGCCTTACCCTGAGACACATTTCAACCCCAGGGCAAAAAGGGTGGTATGGGGCCTTGAGTACCAGCCTCAGTACCCCCTCAGTCTCAGAATAGGATTTCTATGGCAAGCGAAGATCTGAGGGCAAAAAAATTAACTCAAGCAAGTTCTTGCTGCATGTTCTTTATTCCTTTGCACGAATAAGCAGAAAGAAGCTCAACAAGAATAAGGGGCGATCTCCATGAGGTTTCTACTTTTACAGACATAGGAAAACGATAATATGCAAATCAAAATCACAAAAAGGGAAGGTAGAACCTGACAAAGCTGTATTTCAGAACAGGTGACACCACCCAGGAAAGAGCCAGCACCCAAGGGGAAATACCTAACATTCCAAACCTTTAGGTAAAGTTACTACATATCCCTGAACTGGACTTCACCCACACCCAGACCCGTCTGTCTGGTAAGAACCGGGCATGCTGCCTTCCTGCTCAGTGCCTGTCTTCTATAGAAATTTCTATGTGGTCTGTTAGCAGGTAATTGTGTAGGATTGACTCTATGTAAATTTGACCATTAGAACAAAGAGTGAATGTTATTGCTTTAGGCTTCCTGGTGTGGGGGAACCAAAGGTCAGTCCCTTGCCTGTGCAGAAGTTACACTGCTGAGGTGTTTGGGAATGAATTCCATTTTGAAGAAGGAATCATAGCCTCATAGGGCTTCCATAGATATGACAGCGACTTTTCCAAAACACAAATGTACCTGCAGATCTGCAAAACGGGGTACCCCATAAGCTGTACACTTGTGGGTCTGCCTTTATGAATCTGTCAGCTCTACATTTCCTGTAGAGTCGTGTGTGCTCCAACAGGGTGGCATGATGTTGGGAGGAGTGGGCTGACGTTGAGAGGTGGGTTAGGACTAGGGTGTCTGTGGGGTGGCTGGCTGTTGGTCGGGAGCGCTGGTTGGAGTCTCAGGAGTTGGGGAAGCAGACCCAGCTGGTGTCCTGCCACACCAGCACAGTTGCAGGCTGGTCATCCTCCTGCGGAGCAGCTGACCACGCAGGAGCTGCTACTGCTGTTGAGGTCAAGGCGTCGTCTGATGTAGACACAAAACAACACCTGACAGTTGTTCTCCTGGCAGAGCTTGGCATGGAGGCAGCAGAGGGCAATAAACTGTTTGCAGATGGGGCATCCACCACTGGTTTTCCGTTTACAGCCTTTGGTGTGCTGCATGACCCTCTTCATCTTTGGGCAGGAAGGCAGAGAACAGTTGGCACTGTGGCACTGGCACGCATGTACCAGAAACTGCATGGTGCGTTGGATGCGAAGACGGCACGAAGCTCCCTGCCTCTGTATGGATGCTTCTGCTTGCTGGTTGTTGCTCTCCTCACCCAAGCCAACGCCTAGTTCCTCCATTTTGTGGTCCTGGTGTTTAGTGTTAGAACAAGTGCTAAGTGAGTCATAAGCCTGGAGGGGAAAAACAAGATGAAGGGCAACTCTGCAAGACTGAAATAATTAAAAACCATTTTATGTATTTTATTTGGGCTAGACACAGGCTGCCATGCCATGGAAAAGACACAGCAAGGTTTTGGAAACTGACACACTTGATGGCAATCTCTTGCCCTTTGCAGCTGTGTTCACTTCCGGGGGAATCCAACAGGCTCTTTTAAGCCCTCCCTAATGAAGATGGTTGTGCCTATCCTAACGGACAGGCACGTGAACGCCCCAGCGTGGAGTAAAAGTCAACTTTCTATTTCCCTTTACTTCCCGCGTGGAAGCGACAGGCCGCACAATCCCTAAAGCACGGGACCATGAAACCAGGAAGAAAAAAGAAGAGGTGTCGCAGTTTCGAGCCACAGTTCTGTGCTCCTGGATGGGGAGGCGTTTCCTTCCTACCTTCTTCCACGGACCGAGCCCACAGCTTAACAGGAGCAAATCGAACTCGGGTGGTCTCTGATCGGGACTAAGTTCCTTACCTCAGTTTACAAACCCTGCAACTCTCCGCCCCCAAGGGGTCGCTAAAACCACGCGTCCACCCAGTAAGGCCTTCGGGGTTCCTTTTCCCGGCGGGGCTGAGCCCTTTCCCACTTACCTCAATGACCCGCGATTTCCCCATGATTCCAAAATCAATTTCCTCTGTCACAGGTTGCAGGAAGTCATATAGCCCAACCCTCTCACTGAGAGTGTGCTCATTGGCTACCGTGCCTGAGCTCGGACCAATCACACCGTAGGAAATAGAAAAAGGTCGTTCCTTATCTTCCCCCTCGCCCCGCCTCCAATATGGATGGGTTGGGTATCCCGGGCACTCATGGGAGTTGTAGTTACATCAACCGTGCACGAGAAGGCGCATAGCGTTAGCAAAGCATAAAACTGGAGATGCTGCTCTCATCGTCCTGTGTGTGCCAACTTTACTTTTTTATTACATTTTTTTGGTTTGCTTTTGGAGACAGGATTACATGGCTGGCCTCAAACTCGCATAGACTCGCCTGTCTCTGCCTCCCAAGAGCTGGGATTAAAGGTGTCGACCACTGCTGCCTTGCAAATGATAGTTTAATTTTACTTCTATTTAATGTACATTAGGTGTTTAGTATTATTGTTATTATTATTCTTATTAAATACAGTGTTCTGTCTGCATGTATGCCTGTACTCCAGGAGAGGCCACTAGATCTCATTATAGATGGTTGGGAGCCACGATGAGGTTGCTGGGAATTGAACTCACGACCTTTGGAAAAGGAAACAATGCTCTTAACTGCTCAGCCATCTCCAGCCATGGATGCCAACGTTAAACCCTTCCTAGCACCTAGCATGGACACATCCATGTGCCACACAAAATTGTCCCAGCACCCAATGTGGTAAGAAGCAGAGGTTCCTACTGTGATGCCGATATGAAATACCCAGCCCCTCTTTAAAACCAAGCAGAAACTGGAATCCTCGTAATACCTACGAATGCTAGTACCGCTCTGCTCCATCAAAATTCCCAAAGCTAGGCCTGGTGAGATGGTTTAGCATATAAGGAGAGTGACACATGAACCCATCTACCTGAGTTCAAATCTCTGAGCCCACGACACAAAGATGGAAGGAGAGAACCAGCTCCATGAAGTCGTGCAGACCTCCACATGCACACCCGCACACACACCAAACAAACACACACATGCTAAATAAATAAATATAATAAAAAAGCTAAGAAATGGAGAAATGGTTCCGTACTTTGTGACTGTTTTTCAGGGTTCAATTATCAGCACACCATGTGGCAACTCACACATCAGTAAGTCCAGGTGTAGTGGTTCCTATTCTTTCTTCTGACCTTGGAGGACGACAGACACTAACAGGGTGCACTCTTCCATGCGTACACACACACAGCAAAACACATATATGCATAAAGAACAAATTATACTGAGTTATGTTCTAACCCTCAGGCTAGGGCAGACGACTCAGTCAGTAAAGTGATGGCAGCTAAAGCATGGGACACGAGTTCCATCCCTGCACATGATGGAGTACGCCTGTAACCCCAGCACCGGGTAAGCAGGGACAGGAGGATCCCCATGTCTTGCTGGCCAGACAGCATAGCTCAGTGAGTGGCAAGAGACTGAGGAAGACACCTGCGGTCAAGTTCTATCCAATTCGCGTACACATGGAGTCCCCACAACTTCCTTCTACATCCTGGGTTTTCAGGGATTATTGCACAGCCTCAGAAACCTCGGAAATCCAGAGAAATCCAGTCTGCATCTGTTGTGATCCAGTTACCCTCACTCCCCCTGACTGACAGCGGAACTTCCTTGTGGTCTGTAATTGACAAGGATGTTTGTGTTCTTTCTGGCCAGTGTGTCTCCACAGAAGGAGTAGCGGTATAAAAGATTGCTGGGCAAAATAAAGGTTGCTGTTCTTCCACCTGAAAAGAAGACTCCGTGTGTCAATCCCAGCACCCGCCCCAGTCTTGGCTATCCAGGCTGTGTGCGAGGTGTTTGCATTTGGGTATATGGTACAGAATTAACGAAGGGACCAGGGTCCTAGTGTGTGTGTGTGAGAGAGAGAGAGTGGGGGAGGAGAGAAGAGAAGAGAAGAAAGAAGGTAGAGAGAGTTGGTTTTGAATACAAGGTCAGGGACAGCCATCACAGCCTATGTGTATCTGTGGCAGTGGATGTAGGGGCAGAGACACCTAGCCTTGCATGATGTTTGGAGATTTGCTTTACACGAGGAATAAATGAGGTGGACATGAGGCCTAGGCATGTATGGAAGCCATGACTGTAGGGGGCATACCTAGGTGTGGCACTCTAAGGGAGAGTTTTCTAGCAGGACCTGACAACTATCCATGTAACCGTACGAGGGGCTTTAGCTGTATGGTAGTGTTAAGATCTGCTTTCATCACCACCCTATAGGTAAAGCATCCCTGACCTCATTCACACACACAGTTATGTGTCAGGTCCTGATAGATTTCTCATTCTCTTAGAGCCCAAGCTCTCTGGACACGGTTAGGCAGCAGGTGTAGCAATGTAGTCCCACACTTAGAGCCTAAGCAATCACACATACATGGATTCTCAGGAGTCAGGCCTGAGAGAATCTACTCTTCTAAAGCAATGCCACACACCCAGAGCCAGGTGTCTAGTCCTGCCAGGTACCCCACACCTCAAAACCAAGGTTACACCACAGGATTAGAAGAAATCTATTGGCACCTCGAGGCATGGATAAGGTTCCTTCAGACCTGAATGCATGATTACTTGCTAGTTCACATGTGTACATACATATGTCTGTGTGTTTGTGTGTGTGAACCTGGAATTTTGCTGTTGGGAGGAGTTACATAGCAGGACCTGATCTAAACATGTATATATATGTAGCTGTATGTGAACAGATAATACAGGAACCTGACCCTGGACTATATGAATGAATATGGGGGTGCTGTGTATGATAACTTTGGCTGTGACATAGTATATGAAGGACGTAGCCCTGTGCATGTGGCCTTATCTGTAGAGTAGAAGCTCTAATGGAGGACATGCTACACAGCTGTCAGAGGAGGGCTGGTTGCAGGGGAGGGAGGACCTAGCAGGACCTGACATCTGGCCCTGTACGTTTGGCATTGGCTATAGTAGTGAGGATTCATAGAAGGGCCTGACTTATACCCATGTGTTTATATTTTGGGGGTGATATTTCAATTTAAATATGGGGATACCTACCATGTGGTGGTGACACACACCTTTAATCCTAGCACTCAGAAGGCAGAGGTAGGCAGATGAGTGTGAATCTGAGGTCAGGACAGGCTCCAAAGCTACAGAGAAATCCTGTCTCAAAAATCAAAAATGGATGGCGATACATTTCAGGTGATGACACTTAGTCATGATGGTGTGTGCATGGGTGTGTGTATGTGCGTGTGTGTGTGTGTGTGTGTGTGTGTGTGTGTGTGTGTGTGTGTGTG